ATCACATAATTCACAATAAAACATTAAAAAAAAAAGTCACGGTATTTAGATATACAGTGGTTTGTTTTCTTGGTGTTTTATCTTTCTCTCAAGGAATAGTATGCAAAGAAACCACAGCTACTGGGGGGCATAATTGTATGTTTTATTATACCAGAAGCTGTGGGTATTTCCTAACTATCCTGTGATTTAAAGTTCAGAAATATTCAACCTAGGGTGTATAAGGCAAGATTATCTTAAAGAGCTCTTGGGAGGAAAGCTGGGAAAAGCAGGCTGTTTCTATGCTGTTAGAGAGAAACCACTTTTAAATCAAAAAAGGAGCTAGGAGCCAAATTGCAGCAAGTCCCACCCCCACCCTCTTGGCAGATTCATTTATTTTACTAGGACTTTTTGAATACATAAATCTGACAAAACATATATGAGGGGGTTTCAAAAAGTAACAGAGAGATTCCATTTTATTTTATTCCATTTTTCCATGAATTTTGAAGCCCCTCATATAAAATTAGATGAAAAGATCTACTTTCCAAACTAGTTCTTACCTCTACTCCCTCCCATCTACATGGTTCATTTCTTTACTCCCTTTAGGCCTCAAATGTCACTTCATGAGGGACTTCTTCTGATGCCCTTATGTGAAAACAGCCACTCCACCACTCTCTAGACCCCTTATCCTAATTATTCCTTAGAGCACTTATTTCCACATGACTTGCTATAAAAGATGGCTTTCCATCTGTGACCTTCACAGTCTATTTACTGTGATTATCTCAGCACCAGAACAGAGCCTGGCACATGGTGGCCATCCAATAATAAATATGGATTACACTTTTCCTAATTATAAAAAATAGTCTACAAGGTACACTTAATTTTACATTACTCACAAACTGCTGCTGTATCGATAAAAAATACAGTGGTTCAGATGCAATTAGAAATGCTTAAGAGCCAATTGTTTTGTTTCCCATTCAAATGATGAAATGATTATTTTTAAAGTCATATACCAGTGAACATAATACCTCAAAGAATCACTAAACTAACTTTAATACTATGTTCTATTTTACTTGGAAGTAAAACTATTTCTTTATGAATGATACGTTTTAGATTTCTTGTAATTTAGACTTAACGGAAACAGATTTTAGACACACAAGAACAGAGTTGCATGGTGCATTCCCATGTTTAATGACATTTCAAATATTAACTGAGGACACCTCAGTTGGATACGACCCCAAACCAAACCCAGTCCACTGCCGTTGAGCTGACTCTGACTCATAGCGACCCTACACAGGAATACCAGAATGTCTGTAACAACAGTTTGTACTCCTTTTTATAATCAGGATCTGCTGGGAAGGTTCTGAGTTGTTGGGAACACGAACAATCACAAAAAGTAAAATGAAAAATCACAAATCAGAACTTCTACCTCCGGGAAGATGGAGTAGACTTACTTTTTCGTATTTCTCCCACTAAGTACAATTAAAACCCTGACAGTTTCTTAAAACTAAACATGCAGCTACCATACCACCTACAACTGCACTCATCAGCATTTATCCCAGAGCAACAAAAACTTCTGTTCACACAAGGACTTGTAGATGAATGTTTATAGAAACTTTATGTAGAATGGCCGGAAACTGGACATAACCAGATGGGGAACGGTAATCTACAGCATGGGATACAACTCAGTAATAAAAAGTAAAATAATATATATGGCAAACCTGCATGGGAATTATGTTGACTGAAAGCCACTCCCAAAGGTTATTAAGCATGATTCCATTTATGTAACATCCTTGAAATGGCAAAATCATAGAAATGAAGAACAGATTAGTAGTTGTCAGGTATGACAGAGGGGATGGGGTGGGGATGAATCAGGAGGGATCTCCGTGGTGATGAACTATTCTGTATTTTGTCAGTATCTTAGAAATAGCATTGTACTGTCATTCTGCGAAATGTTAGCATGGCAAGATACTGGGAAAAGGCGCAACAATTGCATGTAAATCTGTAATTATCTAAAAATAAAAAGTTTAAAATTCAAAATAAAGCCTGAAAAATTCATACAGTATTAATCTAAGAAATAGAATTTCTGTAACTGAATTTCTAAATTGTTAGTGTTGTTAAGTGCTGCTGAGTTGGTTCTAACTCATAGTGACCCTGTATATGGTTTCTGAGGAGTGACCGGTGGGTTTGAACCACCAACCTCGTGGTTCAAACTGACCTTGTGGTCTAGCATATTATCCTATACCAGGACTCCAAATTTCTAATATACCTCCATACATTTTTTTATTTAGACAATAGCGTTCCCTGACATAAGAACGAACTTTGGAGTAACTCTCAAGGCCAAGTTTTTAAGTCAGGTTGGTCTATAATCACTTCTTGTACATCATTAATCACTAAAGTTGTTGGAAATGGCAACCGAACTGGATATAATTGTATAGGCGAAAGGCACTGCACAGATCATGTTGTGATCACTATTATGGAATGCAAGTGAAAAATCATATAATCATTTTATAGGAGGTGACAGCAACCTTTGGCTACCTTTAATAGAGGCTCAAACCAGACAACGGAGCGTGGGCTAGAAAATTAGGGCTAGTCCTTACTTAGGAGCCATGGTGGCACAATGGTTAAATGCTGAGCTGCTAACCAAAAGGTCAGTGGTTCAAATCTCCATGGGAGAAAACTGGCAGTCTACTCCTGTAAAGATTTGTTGTTGTTGTTGCTAAGTGCCATTGAGTGGTTCTGACCCATAGCAACCCTGTGTAGGGTTTCCGAGGAGCAGCTGGTGAACTTGAACCACCAACCTTGCAGTATCAAACGGCTTTGCAGTCTGGCGCATTAACCCACAACGCCACACTAGGACTCCCATAAAAATTTACAGCCTGGGAAATCCTATGGTGACAATTCTACTCTGTCATATAGGGTTGCTAAGAGTTGGAACTAAAGCAATGGCACACAACAACAGTTCTTACTACTTCTCAGTTTTCATATGATGAGATGTGAGCTGTATAGGTGAAAAAGAGTGGTTTAACATAAAAGTGAGGAAAAGATGCATAATACTGAAAAAGAAGTCTGGTCTAAGGAAAACACAGCAATATTCTACTCTAGACACCACTTAGTCTGCAGAGAGCTCTGCAGCCCAATGGAATACTCCTATGTAGACCCTCATATGTAGACTTTAGTACTGAGCTAAATGTAAATGCTCAAGAACAGAAGGGACATTGAAGGTACAGAAGGCGTAGAGTATGTCACTAATGATTGAGAAGAAAAGCAATTCATTTTCCTGATATGAAAGGTGAGGAATGGCAGCGTTTGGTCAGAAATTGCCTGTTTGCAAAGTTTCCAACAAAAAAGATCAGGTCATGGTGTAGATCCAAAATGTGTGAAAAAGTATACAAAGGTCCATAGTGATTGTTTTCAGAAAAATTCTTAAGCATCATTGAAAACCAAAACCTAAGCACATAGTCACTGAGTTGATTCCAACACACAGAGACTTTACAGGGTACAGCAGCGCTCTCCCACAGGGCTTCCAAAGCTCTCAATCTTTAGGGAAGCAGACTGCCACATCTTACTCCTGCAGTACAGCTGGTGGGTTTGAACTGCTGACCTTCCAGTTAGCAGCCATGCACTTTAACCACCACACCACCAGGGACTCCATAAGCATCATTAGACAACATTATGAATTACAAGTTTTAAAGTACATATAGATGGCACTAAGCATCATTAGAGGGTCCTGGTATATTGCTGTACGATAAGCAGTGGACTGCTAACCACAAGGTCAGCAGTTCAAATCCCTTAGTTACTCCTTAGAAAATCCTACGGGGTCACCTAGAGTTGGAATTGACTTGATGGCACTTAACAGTAAGAAGCATTATTAGTGCCATCCTGGTGTCGCACTGCGGGATCAGCACTGAACTGTGAACCACAAGGTCAGTGGTTCAAACCCAACAGCTGCTCCTCGGAAACCCTAAATAGGGCCGCTATGACTTGAAACCAACTTGATGGCATTTGACAACAATAACAACACATTTACTCTAAGACTTTGTAATTCATAAATACTGTAAATCAAAGAAATACAAATAACCATGTTCTCCTTTGTCGCTACCCATAAGAAACAAAATACTCTAGTCCAAATTGGATTTGAGGTACACAGAAAGAGCCTTTCAATCAAAGAAAAGGCAGTAGGCAACAGCTGGTGAACACAATGAGATGTTTATGGCTCTCTTATAATCCCCCAGTGTAGCACATCTTACCTCTCCACAATGTTTTTTGGCCAGTTCTTCTAGGCGGGATTTTAACAAATTAACACTTTCATTTGACAAACCTTTGGCATTCTTTAGCTCAATTTCAGGTACTCTGAAAAATAAAACAAAACAAAAATGAGGCACTTCAGAAAGCATAGCTTGCTCTCAATCACATTTGCTAAATTCCAAGTTCTGGGCCTGGGGATTTCACACAGGTCTCATATGTTAACCTCTCATGTCCCTGCAACATTCCCTTAATCTCCACAGGATCTCAACTATATCCCAGCTCCTGGAGTTGACACAGTGCTCAGCATGAAGTGACACCGTACCCTTTGGGGAGGAAGTGAGCCTGTCAGGGGCTTCACCACTCTGGGCTGAGCCTCATCCCCCAGGTGCCCCCACATCTATCTTCTCTGTTCATTACTTCAAATTTATAGCCAGGTAAAAATTTCCTGTGTTCCTAACTTCAATTATCATCTATTGGCCCCCAACTCTGAGTTTCTTCTCATCTTTAAAAAAGCATTTCAGCTCTGTTTGACCCCAGCCTTGTAACTTAAGCAAGCACTCTCTTGTCAGGCAATTCTTGACCCCGGCTTGTACTCCAACATCAATTAACCTAGTGCTGACAGCTCACTGGCAAAAGTCCAGTGTTTTGCACTTATTCATGTGCTATAGCATGAAGCTGCACAAGAATAACTAGGCAAGATGGAGCTCTGGTGATCCACCTAGAATTCCCACAATGTGCTGCATCACAATCTATGATAAATCTAGGCACACACACTCTGCAAACTTCCATTATTACAAGTATGCCTGATTCACATTCTTTTTCTTCCCTCTAGACTTGTGTAAGAGTCAACATTCTCTACTTAAGTACATAGCCAACCAATGAACATCCAATAACAACTCAGAGATTACTTTATTTAATTTAGTGAAAAGAAGATGATTCGTCACCCCCTGTCAGCATCTCTGGGTTGTTGTTATTGTTGTTAAGTGCTGTCGAGTTGATTCCGACCCATAGTGACACAGTATAGGGTTTCCGAGCAGCTGGTGAGCTTGAACCACCGACCTTGAAGTTCAAATGACTTTGCAGTCTGACGCATTAGCCCACAGAGCCATACCAGGACTCCCCTGGTAATTTACCTTAATCCAACCTTGACTACTCACCTATCAGCTATCCCAGCATTGCATTGTGATAGGTGGTTATAATCATTATCTACTTGGATAGATTGAAATCTGAGAGAAAGTAACTTAGAAGAGGGAATAATAATAGAAACACGATACAGAACTAAGACCAAGTATGATCCACCTAATCCAGGACTCCATCTCTCAGACTGGCATCAAGGGCTATTTTCTGAAAAGGAAAATTCTCCTGGATGGTATTATTTCAAAAGGGTAAGGAATGTCCCCCCATTACAAGTCTTACAAAATTAAAAAAAAAAATTTAGCAATCATCACATAGCAATATTAAAAGAATGTAAATTAATCTAAAATACTAATTAAATTTTATTTTGCAATGTTCTCTTAATGTCCTTGCCACATTAATCGCTAATGCCATGTAGTTGGTATTTGCAATTTTTCCATTTAAAAAAAAAATCATCCCATAATATTTTTATCAAGTGGGTCCATCACAGTTTATCTGACTAATTCTCTAGTGCAATGATTCTCAACAGGGTGATTATGCATCCAAGGGAGCATCTGGCAAAACCTAGAGACATTTTGGTCATTACAATTTGGGGAAGGAGAAGGTCCTTCTGGCATCTACGGATAGAGGCCAGGGATGTTGTGAAACATCCTAAAATGCACAGGACAGCCCTCCCCAATTACCTGGCTCAAAATGACCATAGTGTTGAGGCTGACAAACCCTGTTCGACATCTAGACTGCTTCCAAATTTTTGCTTTCATAAATAATGCTGAAATTAACATTTTTACACCTGTATTTCTAAGTTTTTCTTTATTTTGATTTTTCCAAAATAATAAACATTTTTTTTGTTCCTAAGGCACTGGCAACACCATTCCTTTTCAATTTGTCATTCCCTGCCAATAGTAAACCATGTGGTTGTCAGATTCAAAATGGCCAATACCAGTCCATTTCAGCTCACTAATGCCTAAGATATCGATGTTGATGTGTTCCATTTCATTTTTGACAACTTCCAATTTTCCCAGATTCATACTTCGTACATTCCATGTTCTGATTTTCAATGGATGTTTACAGCTGATTCTCTTCATTTTGATTAGTGGCGCATCAGCAAATGAAGGTTCTGTGAGCTTTTCTCCCCCGAGCTTAACTCTATTCACGTAATCCTGGTCAACTCTACTTTGAGGAGGCATCGTTTTTCCCCCTGTCGCATTCTGAGTGCCTTCCCACCTTCTGGTCCTGTATCTGACACTGTTTCTCTGCTATTCACAGAGTTTTCAGTGACTAGCAATTCGGAAGTAGTTTGTCACTCTTTCTTCCTAGTCTGTCTTTGTTTGGAAGCTCATCTGAAACCTGTCCACCATGGGTGACCCTGCTGGTTATTTAAAATACCGGTGGCAGAGCCCTCAGAATCACAGCAACTCAAACCACCACAGCACGACAGACAGACGAGTGGTGGCCGTTTGGTTTTATGTCTATACTGTCTCTTTAAATTTCGATGTCAATCTTGATACAATCCTGATATAATCAACATACAATCAAGATGTTCTCTCCTAATCCTATCAATCCTGATACAATCAAGATATGCTCTCCCAAGATGGCGGCTCCTGGAACAGCTGAGTGTCTTGATCCAGAAAATAATGGATTTCTGGATTCTCCTGCAAATTCCCCAGCTATAAACCCTCTGATCCTCCAAACATACCTTTATATTTGTTCCAGAGTATGAAGATCAAAGAGCACAGCCTTCGGTATGGATTGCATCTCAATGTCAAGAAAACAAAAATCCTCACCACTGGACCAATAAACAACATTCTTATCAATGGAGAAAAGATTGAAGTTGTCAAGGACTTCATTCTTCTTGGATCAACTATGAACTCTCGCAGAAGTAGCAGTCACAAGATCAGACGACGTATTGCATTGGGCAAATCTGCTACACAGGAACTTTTTAAAGTATTGAAGAGCAGAGATGTCAGCTTGAGGACTAAGGTGCGCCTGACTCAAGCCATGGTATTTTCAATAACCTCATATGGATGCGAAAGCTGGATAGTGAATAAGGAAGAGCGTAGAAGAATTGATGCCTTTGAGTTGTGGTGTTGCAGGAGAACACTGAAAGTGCCATGGACTGCCAAAAGAACCAATAGATCTGTTTTGGAAGAAGTGCAGCCAGAGTGCTCCTTGGAGGCCAAGATGGCTAAGCTTCATCTTTCATACTTTGGACATATTGTCCGGAGGGACCAGTCGCTGGAGTAAGATGGAAGGTCAGAGAAAAAGAGGAAGACCCCTAACGAGATGGATTGGCCAGGTGGCATCATTGATGGCGTCAAGTGTGGCAGTGGTAGTGAGGTTGGCCCAGGATCGGACATTGTTTCGTTCTGCTGTGCACGGGGTTGCTATGAGTCAGTTCCGACTCGATGGCACCTGACGACAACAACAACAAGACACTGGCATACAAATAAATTTATTTACTCTTTAATTAATTTTTGCTATCTGTAGGATAAAGCACTGGACTGCAAGATAGGTTTGAACTGCAAGGTCAGCAGTTCAAATCCACTAGTGTCTTATATCTAGGAAACCCCATAGAGGGTCACTAGGAGTCCTGGTGTGGTGTATGGGTTAATGAGCTGGACTGCAAGGTCGGTTTGAACTGCAAGGTCAGTAGTTCAAGCTCACCAGTCACTCCTCAGAAACCTTATACAGGATCGATGGCACTTAACAACAACAAAAACTACAAGCTTACTGTAAGTCAAAACCTACTGGACAGTACTAACAACAACAGTAAATACTCTAGGCATGGTGTTCAGAGCAAAAAAAAAAAAGGTTTACTATCTTCAGGTGCTCAATGTTGACCAGTCTATACTTTCATATCCTCCATCTCTTCTTATGAAAACAGATTCTATTAATTTATCACCTACTAGAAGCCATTGCTTCTTTTTACTTGCCATTTTCCTTCTTAAAAACCTTGACTGGTTTCCTGTAGAATCAGTTCAATCCACACATAACATGACCTAGACGAATCTGCCTTAGCACCTGGAGTGTTTGGGGAAAGAGTATACTTTGAAGGCTCACAATATTTCCAGAAAAGAACATCTGAGTTCTGACTGCTAAAGTTTTTGTTCTAACCAGAGGTTCTCAACCAGGTGTCATCTGACTCATAGCAACCCTATGAACAACAGAACTAAACACTGTCTAGTCCTGTGCCATCCTTACAACTGTTGTTATATTTGAGTCCATTGATGCTGCTGCTGTGTCAAAATCCATCCCATTGAGGGTCTTCCTCTTTTTTCTCTGACCCTCTAATTTATCAAGGATAATATCCCTCTTTCTGGACATTGGTCCCTCCTGACAACATGTCCAAAGTACATGAGATAAAGTCTCACCATCCTTGCTTTTAAGGAACATTTTCATTGTACATTTTCCAAAACATACTTGTTTGCTCTTATGGCAGTCCATGGTATTGTCAATATTCTTTGCTAACATCATAACTCATCATAAACTCACCAGCCACTCATTGGAAACCATATACAGGGCCACTATGAGTTGGAACGGACTCAATGGCACTTAACAACAACATCATGTTGTTGCTTATTGGTCCAGTTTTGATTTTTTTTTTTAACATTGAGTTGTAATCCATACTGAAGTCTGTATTCTTTGATCTTCATCAACAAGTGCTTCAAATCTTCTTTGCTTTCAGCAAGCAAAGTTGTGTCATCCATATATCACAAGTTGTTAATGACTTTCTTTCCAGTCCTGATGCTACATTCGTCTTCATATAGTTAAGCTTCTTGGCTTATTTCTTGGTATACAAACTGAATAAATATAGCTAAAGGAAACAATCGTTACACACACCTTTCCCAATTTTAAACCCATGGTTCTGTGTGGCACTGCAGGATAATGCACTGGATTGCAAGGCTGGTTTGTACCACAAGGTCCGCAGTTCAAACTCACCAATCGCTCCTTAGAAACCCTTTAAAGGGTAACTGTGAGTCGGAACCAACTTGATGGCACTTATCAGCAACATCAACAGTTCTGTTAGAAAAGCTGCCTCTTGGCCTATGCACAGGGTTTGCATGAGCATATGGACAACTGCTGTTGCAAGTTCTAGTGTTAAAGTTCTAGTGTTCTAGAATTTCCATTCCTCATGGCATTATCCATAGTCTACTATGATCTACACAGTCAAATGCCTTTGTATAGTCAATGAAACACAAGTAAACATCTTTTTACTATTGTCTTCTGCTTTTAGTCAGGACGCATCTGATGCCAGCAAAGATATCCCTGTTCCACTTCCTCTTCTGAATCCTGCTTGAATTTCCGGCAGCTCCCTGTCAATGTGCTGCTGCAACCATTTAAAAATAATTTTCAGCAAATTAAAATTTTACTTGTGTGTGACATTTATGATATTGCTCAATAATTTCTGCATTCTGTTTAGGTCACCTTTCTTTGACTGGAGAACACTACTAGCATCAGTGGGTAGGGACCAAGGATGCTCCCCATCCTGCAGCACCAGTCCTGCACAAGAACAAATCAGCAGCATTGTGCTTGGGAAAGCACTGCAATGCTTAGCAGTCCTCAACTCTAGGAAGTAAAACACATGAGCTTCAACAGTTACCACACCTTTACCCTTATCGTCTAGATGGTTCCTCTTTCTAGTTTATGAGGAACTAAACACACAAAAGTGAACACGTCAGAGGAAGTAGTCAGTCATGGGGGCAAATCTGGAGTGCCTATCTGCCAAGTATAAGCAGACTGAAAACAAGATCGGTTTCATGACCATTTCTATTAGCAATGTGTATTGGTGAGTGGAAGATAATGTGAAATACAATTGTAAATGGAAAGGAAGCAAGAAGGAGAAAAGAAAATGAATTTCAATCTGTTTCTGAGTTGTCAAAATAGGAAACTAAAATCACATCAAGGCTATTTACAAATGTACTCACACATCTGGATAGGTGGGTGGGCATTTAACCCTCAAATCTACTTTCACATAAACTTCTTCACCAGTCAGGCCCTGAGGGTACAGAACTAAATTTATTTCAGGTGGCTCTTTAACCTAAAAGAGAAAAAAGAAAATTGTTTTCCTAGAGAACAAAACAATAAAAATTAAGACAATTACCATTATTTGTTCAAAAGTTCTGTTTTAAAAATACTATATGTGATTATATTTTATATGGAATCCTGGTGTGGCACTCTAGGATAAGCACTGGACTGCTAACTATGAGGTCAGTGGTTCAAACCCACCAGCTGCTCCTCAGAAACCCTATACAGGGTGGCTATAAGTCAAAACCGACTCTACAGCACTTAATAACAACAACGTATTTTATATAGTTTTTTTGGTATATTTTTGTAAAATACATCTTAAAAACAAAACCTGCGCCAGAGTGAATGTATTTTCTCTTCCTTGATAATCTAAGTAGTGCTTAGTATCCATTCATTCCAACGTTGTTGTTGTTGTTAAGTGCCGTCGAGTCAGTTCCGACCCATAGCGACCCTGTACAGGGTTTCCGAGGGTGTAAATCCTTACGGGAGTAGAAAGCCTCATCTTTCTCCCGCGGAGCGGCTGGTAGTTTCGAACCACTGACCTTAAGGTTCGCAGCCCGATTTGTAACCACTACGCTACCAGAGCTCCTTCCAACGTTACTGATTGCCAATTCGTTGCTGAGTGCAGCCCTGGGTGCACTGCTGACTTGTGGGCTGATCTGATGCCGAAAAGACTTCAGAGGAGCTTCTAAAAACAGAGTAGGAATAAAGGTGTAACAATCTACTTCCCAAAATTAGCCAGTGACAACCCTATGGATCACAATGGTCTGATCTGCAATTGATCACAGGAAGGTACAATACTAGGTAGCACTGTGTTCAGATGGGCGTGAGGGTGCCGTGCGTATGGACACGGCCTACTCGATGGCAGCTAACAACAACAACAATGGACACAGTGGTTGAGGGGACAAACCTATTGAGGGAGGTCAGTCAAGGAAGGCCTGACTAGATGGCCACTACAAAAGGATCACAATTAAAAGGATAGAGTGGGAGAAAATCTGGAACAAAACTCAAAATTATAAAAAAGACCACTTTTAGTGGTCAGATGAGTCCTGATGTGGCACTGTGGGTTAATGCGCCAGATTGCAAAGCCATATGAACTGCAAGGTTGGTAGTTCAAGCTCACCTCTGCTCCTTGGAAACCCTATACAGGGTCACTATGGGTCGGAATCGACTTGACGGCACTTAACATCAACAACGACAGTGGTCAGATAGAATGCCTGGGGTGGGATGCGGCAGAAAGCCTGTGACTATGGACCATGGCCACCGTTGAGCTCTGGAACTAAATTCAACTCCATGACTCAATTTCCAGCCAAGCTATAGACAGGTATATAGGGGTTGGGGTGGGGGATCAATACTAGTGAGGTAGACACACCATAGAACGGTCAATCATTTGAGATGAAAAGGGCATTGTTTATCCAATGACAACATTCAGAAAGGCTGGGAAAGGAGGAGGGTGGAAACAAACACAGGGAGGAAGGGGGATAGTGACCTTACATTGAGGGATTACAAATCATTGAAATTAAACCAAGTGTATAATTTGTTGAATGTAAAACTGATGGTCTACACTTCACTCAATTCACAATAATAAGTTTTTTTAAAAAAGTTATAATGAATATCAAGAAAAAGGAAGGCCTCTTTGAGGCAGGGATATTCAGTATCAAAACATCAGTAATGAGATTAACAAGCGAAAACCCTTGAAATGGGGAAATCTGGTAACTCTTCTAAAATTGTGTGCTTTTTAACCAACTGCTTTTCACCAAAATAACAAACATTAATTTATTTATATCCACTTTTTTTTTTTTCAAGCAATATGTCAGGCAGAGTCCTGGTGTGGCACTGTGGGCTAACGAGTCAGACTATAAAGTCATTTGAACTCCAAGGTTGGTGGTTCAAGCTCACCATCTGCTCCTTTGAAACCCTATACAGGGCCGCTATGGGTCTGAATTGACTTGACAGCACTTAACAACAACAACAACAACAACATATTATATACACATAAAGAAAAGCAAGGCAGCCAAAGGAAGAAACTATTTACTGAACACTTCTATGGTCCAGATACTTTGCCAGCTCAGCATGGCAGATGCCATCTCCAATTTAAAGGTAAAGAAAACAAGTTTCTTGCCATAGACAGATGGTAACAGAACTCTAAATCAAACTCAACTTTGATTCTAAAATCTGATTCTTTTTATAACCACTCTGCGTTTTAATAAAACGTCATTCCTACAAGTTACCATATTTCAAGGACTGAGTGTTAGCTTTGTGAATGTCCAGGCATTGAGGGCAAAAAGAGAAACGGTGTTATCAGAGAGGAAAACCAAAAATCATAAACACTCCTTGGGGGCAACAAAGTACTTGCCAACATTAAATTATAACAGAAATGTATAACATGGAAACACATCTGAGGGGGCTTCAAAAAGTTCATGGAAAATGGAATGAAAAGATAATAGAATGTTTCCACTAACTTTTTGAAGCCTATTTGTATGGTGTGTGGATTCATGTTGCTGAGTGCTGTCTGGTCGGTTCCAACTCGTAACGACCCTTTGCACCACAGAACAAAACATTATCCAGTCCTGGACCATCCTCACAACTGTTGTGTTTGAGTGTACCGTTACGGCCACTGTGGCACTCCATCTCATTTAGGGTCTTCTTTTTCACTGACCCTCCACTTCACCAAGCATTGATGCCCTTCTCCAGAGACTGGTCTTCCTGACAACATGTTCAAAGTACGAGAGACAGCCATCCGTGCTTCTATGGAGCATTCTGGCTGGACTTTTTATCCAAGACAGTTTTGTTTGTTCTTTAGGCAGTTTATGGTACTTTCAATATTCTTCACCAACACCCTAATTCAAATAATCGAGTCTCCTACTGTCTTCCTTATTCACTGTCCAACTTTCACATGCATATGAGACCATTAAAAACATCATGGCTTGGGTCAGGCACACCTTAGTCCTTAAATGGACATCTTTCATTTTTAACACTTTAAAGAGGTCTTTTAGAGCAAATTTGCCTAATGCAATACACCATTTGATTTCTTGACGGCTGCTTCCATAATAGTTGACTGTTGATCCAAGCAAAATGAAATCTTCGACAACTTTAATCTTCTCCATTTATCATGATGCTATCCATTGGTCCAGTTGTGAGGATTTTCATTCTCTTTACATTGAGGTGCAATCCATATTGAAGGCTGTAGTCTTTGACCTTCATCAGTAAGTATTTTAAGTTTTCTTCACTTTCAGCAAGCAAGGTTTGGGCATCAGCATATCACAGGTTGTTAATGAGTCTTCCTCCAATCCTGATGCCACATTTTCCTTCATATAAACCAGCTTACTGGGTTGTTTGCTCAGCAAACAGATTGACTATTTATGGTGAAAGAATACAATCTTGACCCATACATTTCCTGATTTTAAACTATTCAGTGTCCCCTTGTTCTGTTTGAATGACTACCTCTTGTTGTTCAAATGAATACTTATGTACAGGTATTTCATGAGCACAATTAAGTGTTCTAAAATTCCCATTCTTCTCAATCTTATCCATAGTTTGTTATGATCCACACAGTATAATGTCTTTGCATAGTCAACAAAACATATATAAACATCTTTCAGATATTCTGTGCTTTCAGCCAAGATCCGTCTGACATCAACAATAATATCCCTCAAAAATCCGACTTGAACTTTTGGCAGCTCCCTGTTGATGTACTGCTGAAAACATTTTTGAGTTATCGTATACAAATTTTTACTTGTGTGTGATATTAATGATTTTGTTAGATGATTTTCACCTTCTGTTGGGTCACTTTTCTTTGGGATAGGCACAATATGGATCACTTCCAATCAGTTGGCCAAGTAGCTGTCTTCTGAATTTCTTGGCATAAATAAGTTAATGCCTCCAACACAGCATCAGTTTGTTGAAATATTTCTATTTTTATTCTATGAATTCCTGGAGTATTGTTTTCCTCAATGCCTTCACTGCAGCTTGGACTTTTTCCTTTAGTAACATAGATTTTATTATAGGCTACCTTTTGAAATGGAGTCTTGGTGTGGCGCTGCAGGCTAATGCCCTGGACCATAAGGTCAGTTTGAACTGCAAGGTCAGTGGTTCAAACCTACCATCTGCTCCTCAGAAACCCTATACAGGCTCGCCAGGAGTCTGCATCAACTCTTACCACTAATAACAACAACCTCTTGAAATGGTTGAACGTCAACCAATTCTTATTGTTACAGTGACTGTGTATTCCTTCCATCTTTTTTGATGCTTCCTATATCATTCATTTTGTTGTTGTTTAAGAATTAAAAAAAATTAGATTCCCTGGTAGCATAGTGGATTATGAGCTGGGCTGCTAACTGAAAAGTCCATAGTTCAAATCTACCCGATGCTCTTCAGGAGAAAGATGAGGCTTTCTACTCCCATAATGATTTGTGGCCTCAGATACCCATTAAAGGGTCACTGTGAGTCAGAACCAACTCGATGGCACATAACCGCCGCCACCACCACCAAATTCCTTAACATTTAATAACTCACAGCTTCATTTTAAACAAACATTAAGATATTCTGAGGAGTTCTAGTATAAAGCTACAGGATAAGCACTGGACCACAAAGTCAGTTTGAATTGCAAGGTCGGCAGTTCAAATCTACTGGCTACTCCTCAGAAACCCTTTACAGGGTCACTCTGACCCAGAATGGACTCGACAGCATGAAACAACAACAGCAAAATAGTCTGAAATAAATGTGAATTTTTCCCAGATTAAATAAACGTAATGTTTGGCACTTGACAACAACAACAAATGTTCATTCAGAGTCCTGGTGTGGCACTATGGGTTAAGGCGCTGGACTGCAAAGTTGTTTTGAATCTCAAGGTGAGTGGTTCAAGCTCATCAGCCGCTCCTCGGAAACCCTATACAGGGTTGCTATGGGTTGGAATCTACTTGATGGCATTTAACAACAACAATAATGTTCATTCACTAATAAATACCAGCAGATTTTTAAAAACTAGGCAAGATGATTCTAAAGTTCCTATGA